CCCCAAAACCCCAAAACCCCAAAACCCCAAAACCCCAAACGAGTCTCTCTATGTTGAAACCAATGCCAATCCTCATTTAAATTTGCTATAACTAACTTTTCTACCCAACAGTCTTCACTATTCTATAGCTAACTCTCTCTATTACCAAACAGCGGACTAATAATCACTCTATCTCCCCACTCCCCACACCAACTACCATACCACACCTCCATCCAAAACCTCACCCTACCACCCACGAGCACCCTCTCAAAGACACCACAGTAAGTACAATCCCTAACCTCCCAACCACCCCATCCCTCTAAGCCCTTCCTCCACCCACACAAATCTCCCAGTCGGTCCTCCCCCACTACCCATAAATTCACTCAACTAAAATCTATTAGGCACAAGCTATTTTTAACAAATGTTCAGTACAAATTTAGGGACTAGGCTTCAGGTATTTCTGGAAGCGAGCAGGGTGGCTGGCTGGAGTAAGGGAGTGGTAGGCGAGGGTTCTGAGTGGAGGGGGGTCTGGATGGGCTGGGTTGGAGGGAGAAGGGTGGGTTTTGGGAGAGGGTGGAGCTGGAGGAGGGTTAGCGAAGTTTATGTCCAGCGCCGGGCTAGAGCCTAGCTCTGCCATATAGTCAGTGTTCTGCCGAAGCAGGAAGGCCACCTGCACTTGTAAGGTTTTGAGGGAATAAGTGATGTTCAGGCAGTCCAACGAGTTCTCAAAATTTCCGATTTCTTCATCGATTTTATTTGATTTTTTGGAAAATTGACTTGGATTCTGGTATAACTTTGTGTGAAGACTTTATGGTTTGGAGATTGGGGCTTTGACGAGTAAAATTATCTGGGAAACGTTTGAATAGAAAGATGTTTTTATGCTTATTATCTGGGTCGCTTGTTGGGTCTACACGGATAAAATTTGATTATTAAATAGATGACTTACTTGGAGGGTTATTTTTAACTCCTGGATGAAATAACTCTCCTCCTTCATTTAAAAACTTAAAATTCTCTCAATTTTACTTGAGAGTCGTTAAGATCATCATTTTGTCTGGGCTCTTTAGATTCTTCCTTGTTATCTTCTTTACTGTATTCCTCCTTATCTACATAACGGAGATCTTCGTTTTCCTCTTCTTTCTGGTTGTTGTTGATTTTCCCTTCCAACAATTTGATGCATTTCTCCATTGCTTTAAACTTTTCTTCATATCTCTGAATGTCTTTAAAGATCTGACGTTTGAACAGATATGAAGAGATGAGTCCAAGGAGCATCCCGAAACCCAGCTCGAATATCTCGAAGAGACCTCCAAGAATGCCTGTGACTTCTAAAAAATCCAACACTTTTCTTCTGTGTTGTTCAATCTGGGTGTCTCTTGTAATAGCAATATCTAATAATCCTGCAGTTTCACTTCCTAATATAAATGGCTCTTCGGTAATCTCAAAGTCTTCAAGGCTATTGAAATAGAGAGGATCAGGATCCCAAAAAGTTGGAAGGAAGGAATCTTCCAGCACGACTTCATGTCTCTTTAGTTTGAATTTGATCTTCTTCCATTTATTGTTCTCAAACTTTATGTTGTATCCATAGTCATAGTAGTTCTTAATAGGATTTTCGATATCATTGAGATCTACATACCTGTTCTGAATGTGAATTTTGATGAAAGATTGTGAGACTACTTCATTAGCAATATCAACATCGATACAATTAGACCCAAGAGCATAATTTCAAGTTGAGAACTGAAACTTTAACTCAGATGTTGGTATTGCAAGATCTAGATTTCCATGCAAACTTAAGCCATCTAATTTCGGTCAGAAAGGCTTGACTGCCGATCCATTATATATTGCGTCATCGTAGGTATCGAAGCTATTACTTCAGTCGGATGCGGAGATAGTGTTGTTTATGATTTCAGATCTATTGGTGAGCTTGAAATGGGGAAAGACGGGTTTAGGGGTTGAGAAGAGCATTTAGTAGGATGGGAGCGTGGAAATGCTTTCTTGGAAGAGGGATTTGAATAGGGAAGTTATTGAAGGAGTTAAAGATACAATAAAGCTAGATAGAGGTTTTTATTACCCTCACTTTACTTACTTCTCTGAGCTGGAAGTCTTGAAATAATCTTCGTCATATTGTCGATTAACAAAAGTTCCTGTAATAACTTGACCTTGCTCAATATCCTCATCAAGTACATAATGGCCGGGTGCATTCCAAAATATCTTAAACTTCGGGTCTTCTTCTTTCCAAACAAGACTAGAGTTGTCTTCTCTCAAGTCTACCTGAATTGTGTTCTGATTCCAGCTGACATCACTCCTGCTGAACATTGATTTTAGTAAGATTATACTGTAGCAGAAGAGTACCTATACAAGAGCTTATTTGTATCTCAAGGAATCTTAATTTTCTAATAAGAGTGTTACTTAAAGATTGCATCTTCATACAGATGCAGCCCTAATAATATTAACAAAACAGCCTGATGTACAATGAGAACGAATACGGTTGAGATAGCTCCAATGATGCTCGAGAAGTTATCTTTGCCTCTGTATGTCAGAGATATTGACTGCTTGAAGATATCCCTTTCTTTTATCCTACTGTAAGACCACTTCAGAGTCTTTAAGTAACAATTTGGCATATTTATTATTAAATAACTAAGTTCTAGCTCTTAATTTATAACTGGGGTTTTGGGGTTTTGGGGTTTTGGGG